GCGCCTGGCTGTTTGGCTCACACAAGAGCTGGCAGCAACTTTGGAGGGCGTGGGGCCAACTGAGGCAGCTTCACCACCCCCGGAAAATGGCCCACCAACCCCCTTGGGGGTCGCGACCCACAGGTTGAGAACTGCTGCTTTAGATGCACCGACAATGAAATTTCATGTGACTGTTGTGCCTTGCCTTGCTGGCATGGGACCTGGAAATAATAGTGGCACCATTCCCTCTTGGAAGGGCAAGCCCAGAAGGTGGTGCTGAGATGTCAAGATTTATTGAGGTATTATATATATTATGTATATGAGTTTTAAATGTAATTCTTGTGTAGCAAATATAGATGCCACTGAGAATAGAAATGCTGTGCTGAAATTTTTATGTTGAGGCTGTGATTAAGTGACCTTAAGATAAGCTCTCTTCTGCTGAAAACTTCTAGGGAGTTGCCGCTTGGAACAAAAAAGATTAACAGTTAAAAAGTTCTGTTTTGACTTTCGGTTTTCCTGTCTCTTCCTGTGTGTTGCTTGCTGTAGATGGACGTGTTCTTCTGTGCTTAGTATTTATTTATTTATTTATTTATTTATTTACAGCTTTTATATTCCGCCCTTCTCACCCCGCAGGGGACTCAGGGCGGATTATAGTGTACACATATATGGCAAACATTCAATGCCAATTTTTGACATACAAACATATACAGACATACACAGAGGCTGTTTAACTTTTTTTTGTGGCCACCAGGGGAGCTGTCGCTTTCATCGTCCATCTGCGACGCTGATGAAGCACTTCCGCATTCCCCGCATGCTTCCTCGCTGGAGTCTTCTTTATGGCCTCATAAATTAGTTAATTTAGCCTCCCCACACTTTAAGGTGGTACCTAATTTCCTACTTGACAGATGCAACTGTCTTTCGGGTTGCAAAGGTCGACAACAGGCTACACAATGGTTGGAAACCCACTCCAACCCGGGCTGGCTTCGAACTCATGACCTTTTGGTCAGAGTGATCTTAATGCAGCTGACACTCAGCCATAATCCCGGTGAGTTTTCTTTTATAACCAAAGTCTCCAGAGTCCTTTATTTCAGAGCTGTGTCTGGTGGATCTAACATTTTGCTTCTGTCAAGTTGCACCTAAGCTTGACATGAGACACTTCTGTACATGGAATTTCTTTATATACTAGAGAATATGTATAACAATATTATTATTATTATTATTATTATTATTATTATTACTTTATTTGTA